TGATGTTTGCGGGGCGCGGGGGAGAAGGGCCGGGAGCCGTCGTTACCTGCGGGGCGGCGGCGGCGGCGGCGGCGGCGAGGGGGAGGGCTTGTCCGAGGAGGAAGAGGGGTAGGGACGGGGAGGGGGTCACGTTTTGCGGGAAGCCCCCTGCCCTTTGTCGGTTTATTAGTTACGCTTACCACTAATGTCGGTTCTTTTTTTTTTTAGTTTTCTTTTCTTTCTTTTGCCTATGTCGGTCGAAGCGAATTTTTTTTCATTCACACAAGTAGAGGGGTTTTTCCTTGCAATATTTTGAGTACACCAGTGTTTTCGAGATGCATTGAGGCCACATGCAACCATGTTTTGCAGAGCTTATTAACACAACATTTTTTTCACCGCGATATGCACCTGCGCTGGTTGTCGAAGGCCGCGCCCGGAGCACTTTGTCTTCCTTCATGGATTGGAACGTATATCCTCCTTTACCTCTTTCGATGAGTGGCCCATGAACCGAACCATCCAGCACGTTGTCACCGAGGCTTCTCGTGGCGTCCTGGTTGTCCGTCTCCAATATGAACTTCGAGATGCTCTGCTCCATTGCCAATTCCACCATGCAACGACAAGCTAGCAGATCCATTGCTTTCGTCCATCCCTCGTGTAGCAGTCGAATGCTTTCTCGACCAAGTAGGGCAATTATGTGCGGTTCCTTACCATTGTGTTATTTCTCAAGTAAGTTTCATGTTTTTTTCAGCAATTATGTTGGGCTCCTCGATCCCTTTACCATCCCTGGAGACCTTCCTTCTTAATCACGATTCACCATTGGAAAAACACCCATCATAACTAACAGTTTCTTTGATGAACTTGCTTGCCCGGTCAAGTCTATGAATCAATTGTGCAACTTCGGCGTCACAACGACAAAGGGAGGCAGTGATTGAGATTACATGCCCTTAGCCAGCTTTAGGCTTTCCCAAACATGCACAACATGTTGACATCGACATAAGCGGTGCAGGGTCGTCTCCTTCCTTCGGTAGGTAACCCAAAACACTCTCGGATCAATTTGCCGCTTGTGAAGTTTGACTCCCATGGCCAGCATGTATTTTAACAAACATCAGGTGTGCACTTTAAACTTGTTCGGTACGTCTATTCTCAACAACACGAGCATCCCCTGTGGTTTGCAACCAAGGAAGAGCCCTTTGTGGCTCCGTTCAAATATTCTTTGGTGACATCTCGAGCAGACAATGAAGATGCCATTCTGCATGAAATTCGAGGTAATGTAATTGTCCTAGCCAGCTCCTTTGTTTCTCCTCATTCCATCTCATGCCATGGTCATCGAGGAGATAAGATAACAAATGTTTTTTCCTAGATTCAAAACAGCAATAGGCTTCATAGCACCTGCACGCGGGATCGAATTATCTTACCATGCACTGACTTAAGTGTAATTGCCTATTCTCTGTATCAACTCATCTTTCAGAAGATCACACTCATAGCAAATACTTCTCCACGTCAACGACTCTCTCCTCCGGCAAGCATCAGATAAAATGTTGGAGCCCTTGAACTACCTGACTTTTAGGACTCAGGCCCATACTGAGTTTAGCACCATCGAGATTGATTTCGTCCATCCCTCGTCTGGAAGTCACTAGTGCTCCCCCTGCCGAGTAGGGGGAACTATGTGCGCCTCCTTACAAATGTGATATCCCTCAAGTAAGTGGTGTGCCTTTTCGGCAATTGTGTTGGGCTCCTCGGTCCTTTTACCATGCCTAGAAACTTTCCTTACTAACCATGTCTGGAAAATACCCATCATAACCAACTCTTTCTCTGGTGAATTTGCTTGCCCAATCCAACCCAAGAACCACTTGTGCAACTTCCGCGCCACAACAAAGAAGGGAGGCAATGATAGATACTAGAGGCCCTAAGTAAGCTTTAGGCATTCCCAAACTTGTGCAACATGGTGACACCACTTAAGCTTTCCCAAACTTGCGCAACATGGTAACATCCATTAAGGTTTTCCCAAACTTCTGGAGCATGGTGACGCTGCCATAAGCATGGAGGCTTAGGCCCTAAGTTAGCTTTAGGTTTCCCAAACTTTAGGTTTAGTTTGTCGCTTGTGAGATCCCATGGTAAGCATTTTCTTTAGCAAACACTAAGTGTGCATTGTTAACCTTGTTTGGTATGTCTGTGCTCAATATCATGAGCCAACCGCTTGTGGGTTGCAACTGAGGAAGAGCACTATGTGGCATCTGTTTGAAGCTTCTTTAGTGACATCTTAAGGTGGTCTGTTGAGCAGAGAATAAAGACTTAATTCCACGTGAAGTTCTAGTCAGTGTTATCGTCCCGTCCAGCTCCATCCAAGTGTGTTCTCTTCATATCGTACATATCACTATTAAGGAAAAACTAATTCAGTAACTCCTCATTCAAGTTCATACCTTGGTCATGAAGGAGATAAGAGACTTTGAGTGCTTTTCTTGGATTCGAAACACCAATAGGCTTCATGGCACTTGCATTTGGGATCCAGTTATCTTCCCACACATTGACTTGAGTGTCATCACCTATTCTTCATATCAACTCTCTTTTCGTAGATAACGCTCATGTCAGATACTTCTCCACGTCAGTGACCCCCCTCTTAGGACAAGTGTCTAATAAATGTTGGAGTCCTTGAAATACCTGGCTTTGAGGACTTAGGTGCATACGGAATATTGCGTCCTGAGTGTACTCAAGGCTTGGATAGCCAGCAATGCCTGGTTGAAGGCTTCAAATCTTCTAGCCCTAATATGTGCGCTCTCTTCGACAGGGACATCTTGTCCCACAATATCTAGTGGACCTTCCGTTCTCCATTATGTTGCTCCCCACCAAAATTTAGATGAGATAGAACTCTGGTTCCGGCACAATTTCTTGGGAATTTTTGTAAAGACACATAGACTAGGTTGTAGTAGCCTAGAGAACATACTTGAGAAGGACTTCACTCCTTCCAACAACCTTGACCTAAGCCAATATGTTTGAAGCATCTTTCCTAGAGAGGACAATCACATTTGTAAGACCGATATATTCCTAAAAGCGCTTTGAACTCAATGGTAATACACTACTTTTATAAGCACCCTTTTAATCATTTAGGCCATCAACACCCAAACAATTAAGGATTTTTACATATCATTATTGACAAAATCAACATGCGGGGATAACTGAGTTAATCATGCTACTGTAGTGTTGATTTCTTAATATAAGGTATCAATAGTTGGAAGCGAGGTGGTGCACAGTTAATTGTAGGAAATTTTTTGATGCTCATTGTAAGTAATATTACAGGTTTTTGGTTTGAATAAATATACTTGCAAATATTTTGTTAATGACGTTATATTTTCCACACTGATTCCCAACAGATTATATTGTCTGAATTTGTGGTGCTTAATGGTGACTTAAAAGATCTATCAAAAGAAATGTTTTCTCTCCTCCCTTACATAACATAATAAATTTTAGATTTGTCAAAGATTGGAATAAAATAGAGCTAAATCACTTGATATCCAGACCCATCTCCAGCAGCGACGGCCGAATATCTTCAGAGTTATATGCGCTCGCTGCATCTTTCCAGGAGGTATACAACAGAAGAAATTATAAAGGAGAAGATGATTGTGATGGGGGAAATTCCTGTCGAGCAGGACAGAGTGGGTGCCGCAGCTTTGCCATGGCCACGACCACCAGTAGATCAGGTAGCATTATCCGTTGATGGGCTTTCTTAAAAGTAGATGGATCGGCAACAACTAGGATTCTTTTGAGGAGACATGATGGAAGCGTCATATTTGCGGCCTATCATTTCTTATTTAACTGTAATGGTGCATTGGAGACAGAGCTACATGCAATAATGCAGGGTATGGCGCTAGCAGCTCAACACAGTAACTTACCCATCATCGTCCACTCAAATTCTTCGGGGCACTCTCGGCTATTAGTCAGGATAGTCTATTTAGGTCGGCGTACGGACAGTTGGTAGCTGAGATTAAGCATCTTATGGTAGATAGAGAGTTTTTTCAACTGAAAGTTAAGCATGAGCAAAATAGGATAACAGATCGGTTGGCATGGTACAGTCGTACAAAGAGTACTACTGTTGTATGACTTGACAGAGGACCATCATTTTTAGAGGAACTCTTGTCTCTTAATTGTATCACTATTCATATGAAATAAAACTCTTTTTACCCTCGCAAAAAAAAATCACTTGATATTCAATGGTGATATACACACACATTGCGAACCAACAATAATCTATACATTTTTCTCTCTTCTATTGGAAATTATAATGTTATAAAACTACTAATTGTACTAAACTTTTTGACTTATTAATAAATCATCTCTTCAAAAACATCTTAAGCCATTTTTAATTACATATTGCAAAAGTTGCAATACTTTCAATACACATTTCTTATATTTGTCATGGAAAATAAATAGCATGAAGGTTAAACCATCTTTTTGTGATGAAGTGATGTTAGTTATTTCCTTTATGAGATTGATTGATGTTGAAAATCCA